ACAATTGGCCCAACAGCTTTCAGTCAGCAATGGAAGTGTAATTGCAATTATCCGGGCTCTTGCATATTCGAAGGTGTGCGCAAGATGGGTTCCACGAAGTCTCACAGCAGACCACAGGATTCAAAGGAAAACGATTTCTTCTGAATTGTTGGAGCGTTTTGATGCTGAGGGAGAGGTCTTTCTGTCCCGGATCATTACAGGTGCCGAAACCTGGATACACCACTTTGAGCCAGAGACAAAAAGGCAGTCAATGGAGTGGCATCATCCTCTATCACCGAGAAAGAAGAAATTCAAGTCAACTCCCTCCGCCGGAAAAGTCATGATGACTGTCTTTTGGGACAGTGATGGGGTCATTCTTGTGGATGTGATGCCAAGAGGTGCGACCATCAATTCAGACGCGTACATCAGGACCCTGAAAACCCTCAAGAAGCGTTTTCGACGAGTTCGGCCTCACAAGCATCCAGCAGAAATTTTGCTCCTGCACGACAATGCACGCCCTCACACAAGTCTGAGAACCCGGGAAGAAATCACCAAATTGGGTTGGACGGTGCTACCCCATCCCCCCTACAGTCCAGATCTGGCACCCTCCGACTTCCATCTCTTTGGGCCCCTTAAAGATGCTATCCGCGGAACAAGATTTGAAGATGACGAGAGCGTGATTCAAGCAGTGAGGACATGGCTACGTGCACAGGACAAGAGCTGGTACCGGCAAGGCATGCATGCCCTTGTTCCACGCTGGCGTAAAACCGTACAAGTTGATGGGGACTATGTGGAAAAATAGTATGTGTAAAGGAAACATTGATTTATATTGTCACTAAATTTGAGCCATCTTGAATAAATATGTTCTGAGGAAAAAAATGTGGGGCATTACTTAATGAGCGACCCTCGTAAATCGGTTTTAAAAGTTCAATAAAATATACTTAGAATTAATCGTAGACTATAAAATGCATATTTTTTTCATCGTATGTCAAAATCACAAAAGGCATTTCTAGAGATTTCTTGGGGCTCGAGAGGAATCTTGTTTTCTAGAGATTTCTTGGGGTTCGAGAGGAATCTTGTTTGAAAATCACCGTTTCCTCGCTGCTAACATCCATCGCCAAAGTGATTTTCAGGCTTCAGAACGCACAGCAGAACGCTTAAATTCCATTATACGATTTTACGACGATGTCTTGAACACAATCTCCTCAAATTAAAAGCATTGTCATTCTAAACTTGCTTCATTTAGCGGCATTTTAACCTGAATCTCCAGAACCAAGTGCCTTCTAGAAGCGCTTGAGTTGAATTATTTGCACACCAGCTCCTTGAAGCGCATGACAATGAAACAGTTGCCTTCACACAATCCGTCCAAGTGTGATAATACGAACAGGCACGGCACAGGAACAGACTAATCATTTTAAAATGCAAATTAACTCGAATATGTACGGAAAACAATAAGGCATAAGATGAATGGAGCACAGTCCTTATTGATAAACTGATAACCGCGCAGATAATCAAGAAAATTATCATCTTTTATGGAACACGAATATTTATTACTCTGTCCTGATCCACACGAAAAAAGTTTACTCCCACCAACCCCATTTTCTTAAGAGCCATTTTAATATTATCCTCCCACTTACGCTTAGTTTCTCGTTAAGGATTTTTAATCAAAATGTTGTATTAGGTATAAAAAGATTTTAAAAAAACGTAGTTCGATTAACTATAAAATAATTTACAGACTAAACACCCTCACTACTAACTCATTTTGCCACACCTGATTTATAATAATACGCGGATTATTGAGGAAAATGAGATTACAGCTCCAACTCCCCCCCTGTCATTTATATTCGTTTGCAACAATTATTTACACAATATTCGTGACAAAAGAACGGGTACAGGACAGAATAAAACAAAAGAAATATAAATCCCAGCCTCCCGTTAGTTTCAGAACAATAACAACACTGAATTCAGTTTAATTTTATAATTAAACTCATTATCATGTACCTATCACTATTACGCCATTAACAAAAATATTATATCGCTATACAAAATAAATTATATACGAAATTTGTTAACAAACCCTTTTCAATATGGGTTTATAAATCACGTTGAAACCATTTCTGTTTCAATACATATGCGTTGTTGGCGCTGGTGTTTATATTTGTTGTAAATTAAACAAAAAAATCTGTATATTAAAATTACGAAACGTGTTACGAATAGCATGTCCCAAGCAATGAGAGGTTGTATTCACTAAAATTATGTACTGTACATAAAATACACAATTTTCATACAGCCCATGTTTAAAGAAGAGGACATGATCTACCCAACAGCTTGTAATATCGACAGTGTTGAAACATGTACCGCCCAGTTTGCGTTGAAGGAACAATTCATAATTCACATTTCGCCCGATCTGTTCCCAGACCTTCGCTTGCCTGACTAACACAGCACTAAAACCCTGCTTATGTGAAAGGTTAATAAGGAAATCGTGATTTTTTTTAGACTTGTCAGAAATACTTTACACATCCAGAAACATATGGCACATACAATTTAATTTGAATTGGAAAATGGACCTTAGTCACTGGATAAAATACTCAGATACATTTACAGTGACAACAGTGGGACTGACAAATATTACCATAAGATTTATATTCTAGATATTGTTGGTAAAAAAAAATATCTATCCTGATTAATGTCTTCATTATTTTCTTCGTCAACTCTTCGGAAAAAAAAATCGGTTTAAATCTGAAAGTAGGCCACGACAAATTCCTCTCAAATCCGTTCAAAATCTCCCCAAGTCATCAACCTGATATTGAAATTACTGGACAGTAAAGTTTTGTGTAGTTTGAAGACGACATTAAATGCAATGAGTACAAGGTTGAGCGAATACCAAAGATGTTTAAACATTTCTTGGAGACAGGCTGTGGGCGTGCGAGCGCTAATTTATATTCATCTGCTGAGCTTACTTGACACATACAAAGTAATGCACGTTTTATGAGCGTACCCACATGATGCCAAATTTTAAATTTATGTCATTGTAATGAATCTTCATTACTTGAAAGAGACTTTAAAAACTGGTTTGTTCATGACAGTAATAATATGACCATTTTTCAGACTATCGATTCCTTTGCTAGCTATTAATATTGACCGGCGTTTCAGAAGTGCCTACTGTATACATCTTCAGGGCGACTATGTAGGGATGTATTTCACTTGGCAGGGTACACCTATTTATCTTCTTTGTACCTGAACACATTACAATTTATTTACACATTTTTATCATGAAGCTACTCCACAGAGTACTCGCATCTACCTCCTGTCACACACACAAAATGCTCGAGACGGCAAATCGTTTGCTATCCTACTATTTTACCTCATGATGCTTGGGAGCGGCCCAGTAAGGCGACACAGCCGCCTCTACCACCGAAACGTCTTCAGCACCACCTTGCTAGCTGACTCAGCCGTCGCTCTGGTCAGTCTGACCAGCGTCGCGGATGGCTACCCCTTCCAGCAGCGTCGTCCTTTGGGCAGACTGCGTCTACTCGTCTGACGCTTTAAACCCCTCACTCAACATTTCTTGAGGTTTCATGCTCTGTCAGCAGTATTTCCTTGGTCGTAAAGAAGACGATATCATTATATGACGGATTTTCATGCTACGATATCGTTATGCAAGCTTTGTTCCAATATTTCGTCAAAGATGTGACAAATTACTTTGTATGTATTTAAAAATTAAAAATGTCGATATTTTCACGGCGGTGAGTCTGAAGATGGCTATCTTCTGGGTTGTAGGGCCGTGCTGTCCCTCTTAAGGGATCCGTATCACAATTTTCTTAAGAATGGAAGGTTCGGAGACTGAAGGTCCTTAAAGTTTGTGAAACTTATATTGAATTTCTGCTAACATTCCAGAGGCCTATAATTCAAACCTGAGGGTTTTTGAGGACAGGGCACCAGTGAGGAGATCTATTGGGAGGGGTGAAGAGACAGCGAATCAACTTGAAAACTGTTGGTCACGTCCTGCCTCGAGAAATGAGGTTGTCGCTACCCCAGACTTCGCGGAAGAGACAGGTTTATCGCAGAAAGCTTCATTCGAGATGTCTGGTCACACTTTAAGTCAGAGTAACCCCTGGAATTAACAGAAATCCTTGCGGTCTGATAAAGAACAATCCCGCAAGTTACCAAGGACAGCTGTCAGCTTCCGGTTTCCGGTGTTCTCTGTGCGTCACTCTTACGCAGTTTCCGATTATCAAGAATCTGATTATCAATTTGAAATGTTCAGTGCCCCTAAAGCTGTCGGTAATGGTCTCAAATTATAAGCGTGATTGATATTAGCATGAAGTTAATGGCTGTGTCAGTTACACAGTGTTCAATCGGGTTTGTTAAACAAGTTCAACGCCAAAATCAGACACTAATTGACATTTTAGAAACACATTAACTGTCGCGCACAAAAAAATGAGTAATCGAATTGAAATTTTAATACAGATGGTTGTCACCCAGTCGCGTGGAATTTAATTTCGTGGTCACCACACGCTAATTAATTCCATTCATTCAGTTGATACAGATAAGTCAGTCCCCAGGGTAAATGATTCGTGTAACTGTAGACAAATGTTTAAATTTTAATGCAGAACAGATTTTCAGATAGCATATGATGACGACAGTTAAATTATATTTGTTTCTTGCTTTATTTAATGATGCCTTATCGCATACAGTGTTCGAAAAATCAAGCGATCAATTGAACTGATGGTATAAATCGCATAATGTTGCTCTAAAGTATCAGATAACATAATCTACGTACTTAATTCTGCGAGGTAATACGAACTGCCAGAGAACGGAAGACTCTAATTCGGAAGATGACGTCGAACTGAAGCCCGGAAATATTAATAGCCGTGCGATCAGACTTTCTTAAGTTGCGAAATTGAACTATTAACGTTAATCGCTGTTGAGCGCTAGCAGATGAAGATCTATTTTGCCGAGTTGTACAGAAGCGTTACGTAACATTACAAAAAACAATCACTTCTGTTCTTCTCTTGTAGAATGAGCCGGCGAATCTACGGACTGGACGACTTGGGTTCGATCCCCGACGGGGACAGAGGATTTTCACGTATACGTCAAGGTCATGTCAAGGTAAATTTTGACGCTTAATTTAAGTTGAGGTCACGGATAGGTCAGGATCCAGTCAAGGTCAGGAGATATCAGCAAAATGGTTTGCTGAATAGATGCCTTTAAAATTTTCAAGGTCATTTCTTTTCACGCTTATTTCTGCGGAACTGTAGATGCCTGAAGTACCATACTCTTATCAAATTGAGGTCAGGGATAGGTTAAGGTCATGTCGAGGTCACGGAACTATCAGCCCAAGGGTTTGCCGAATAGACGGCTTTAAGATTTTCAAGGTCATTTGAAGGTAATTTTTATCTCACTTTTATTTGTGTCGAACTTTCATCGCTCTGATAATGGAAGCAGAAGGGACCTCTGAATCGGTAAAATTCTACAAGACTACACGTCGCTGTAACCCTTAAAGCAGACATCTTCCTAATTCATGATAACAAATGCAATTGTTTGACATTGTAATAAGATATTTTATTTTAATGAATGTCTTATTACTCTTTAAAGCAAGATGAAATAGGCATAAATAGTTCGTCTCTGTGTTAATTTGTTCATGCGTCGTGAAACATCCGAACACGCCCCTGGCCAGGCTAAAAAGTTTTAGGAGAAGAAGACAAGCTGGTCGAAGGAAACCCTCGTGGGTAAGCAATTTGTCGAGAAGAGAGAAGCCTAACGGAAACATGGGAAATAAGGGGACAAACATTGTGGCTTTACTTTTGTGACGAATTCGTTTCGGATATCCGAAGGAACGGGTATGTTGCTTTATCACACCTGTCGGTCTGAGAATCCGAACAAATAACTTACAACAAAACGAATGTAAATTACATACAGGAGGCGGAAATTGTTTGGAAAGGAGACGGAAAGAAACTTCAGGCATGTAACGGGAAAGTATGCTTCAGGATTTGTTTTATATCTTAGTAACGTTTTATTTACTTGGCTGGTTCATGGAACAGCAGCTTTGAATTGCTCAAAATGGACCCCTACATGTACAGAATTATTGGCAAACTCTTATTTTGGAAACTTTTTAAAAATTACTTACCCAAGAGAGAAATTGGAACCTGAGGAAGATTTTGAGAAGACGACGAATTAATTCAGTTTCAGAACAGCACACGTTCAGTTTGTTAAAAGCCTCGGTTTGATGGTAACCGCGATTCGATTATTAATGTCAGGCACAGTTTAAATTTGATAAGTATCCATTTTCCTTACAGAGGAAATGAATACAAAATTAACATTTATATACCCGAAATTCGGAGGTCCTTGCTACCTCCGTCATCAGGGCGATGAGTAAGCCGTCTAGACTTATTAACAACTGGAGAAATACGAGTCTTAAAAACTTTCTAAATTAATGAGAAATTACAAGTGCGTCTTTTATATAATCTGTGAAGGCTTACAGAAGAGTTTTTGTAGGATTTTCTACGAAATTGAGTGTCAAAGAACTGCAAATCTCTCCAACCGAACTTCTGTTTTAATAAAAAGCTCTAATATGGTAACCGTACGATGTTAATTTGTTACTTACGAAGCAGAGATATGTCGATTTATAATTACTTCTGTGGGTACTGATGAATGTTGAAAATATCAATTTTAAAGCCGAATGAAGTATAATAATTGCTCTTTAAAGTAGGAAAGAGTAAATTGTCTGTTTCTATAAAGCATGCAGTATAGTCACTGTATGCACATTCTCCGTCAGTTTATAGAACTTCTAATGGGCTGTCACTTTGCCGACGTGTTTATTCTCTCGTGTTTTATATGTGTTGTCCAAGTTTTATTTCCTTCTTAAAGTTCCTCTTCTTTACCTTTACGATTTAGATGTACTATACAGGGTGTTTTAAAAATTCCCTGTGTTCACGCACGCCCATGTTGAGCACGTAATATGACTGTATTATCTGGGCCAGTACCTTACAATTCGTAATCCTAACCTGACCTAACTACTGAGTGTACATCCACATTCTTACGTTCACACAGGGAGTTTTAAGTCACTATGTGTCACATGACTATTCTATATTAAAATGACTACTAAATGTGCATTTCTTGACGGAGTAAACCATTGTACTTCCTGTGGGCAATGCACTTATTCAATTACCCCTGAGCTAAATCACCCCACCCATTATGAAGACGAATGAAAAGTGTATGAGTTGAGTTAAATGTATTCTTAGTGAAAGGGTGAGACGCTAGACTCTCGTTCAAAAACACTCATTACATTTCATATCCGTTCACTGAGGGACCGCACTGCATACGTTGGCAAAGTAAAGGATTTTTTCCAAATTGAAAATCAAACCCCGGTCGGTTAATCAGGGGTCCAATTAGTTGCTGTTAGTGAAAACTTTAACTTAAAAAAATACCTCATACCCTGCTTCTAAGCATTCTGTCTGGTGGCTGTTAAAACACCACATACGTAAGGTATCCCCGCAATGCATAAAGCGATATACGTCCGTGGCTGCCATATGCAGTTAGTGCATAAAGCAATCTGTTTGGTACTTACGAGTCTCTTTAAATTCAGTTATCGCGTGTCGTTCTTAATCAGTACATGTCATGGGATTTGTATTTTTATGTATAGTTTATGGATTTTCCAGCGATGTGAATCTTTAGGGGAATACTGAATCTAGGCTAATCTTTGGCACGCACTGAAGATATTCTACGTTGGCTCAGTCCATTTCGGAATTCGTACGTGTCGTAACTACTGTGTCTTCAAAAGGCCTAGATCTGTTTATGGCGTCTGTTATAAGGCTTTGAAGTATTGGTGTCTCTTATCTCCAGAAAGAGAGAATACACAGCATGATCGTTAGGTTGTGCTTTTATGTTTCGGAAGAAAAATAAAGTGCCTTCATAAAATATTTATCTTTCAAACACTTATCATCGTACAGCATACTGGAGGTTGGCAATATTATGTGTTTAATGTCACCAGTACACTCGTCGAGTCATAAAATGTTACGGCCATTACGTTGGTAGTACTGGCGAGAGGTTTTCGTCGATGGTGTGTCGTTGACACCAAGTTTCACAAAAATCGGTCAGTCTCTTGAGAACAAGAGTTGCACGGAACCAAGATTGCTTACTCAGTACGGTGACTGGCTACGGGTTGGACGGCCGTAGACTCAGTACGGTGACTGGCTACGGGTTGAACGGCCCTACTTCGATTCCCTTTGTAGGATTTGAGTTTTTCACGACGGCGAGTCTGAAGATGGCTGTCTTCTGGGGACAAAATGTTCTCATCAACATCAGGTCCAGACCCGTAGCCGTAAGGGCCTAACCTGTTATCACATTCAGTCGATACCAGGTGTTTTATATTATGGGACAAAGCGACCTAAGCGTGAAGCTGATAAGTCGCTTTTACAGTTAAGACTGCGTGGAACCAAACCTCCACAGATTCTTACGTCTTGTTGGCGTCGTAATTAATTAAGGCTTTGACCGGGATGTTCTTTTGTTAAATCTTATGTGGTACCGCCTGATTCGACTTCTAATGGTTAAGTGAAGTGTTTTCTTCGCGGTACGGTCTGGATTCGTAAATATTATGAAGACGAGCTTCGGCTTCAAAGGGTTAACCAGCTGATTTTCGTAATGGTGAGGTGTAGTGTTTTCTTCGCGGTACGGACTGAATTCATAAATAATATTCAGACGATCTTCAGCTTCAAAGGGTTAATCACAGGGAAAATTATTTGATGAGAGGACTTAAGGACTTGTAGAGAAAATAATTTGTATTTGGTAAGCGTAACTAAGTACGTTTTGAGAGCGATCTTGACAATTAACTTGCCGTTACGTCTTAATGGAATACGCGAGGTCACGTGCTATGTGGGTAATGTATATGGTTGTTGGGGTCTCCCGATGAAATGTGGACTGCAGAGCATCGAAGTAAGAGTGGTGAGGACCTGTTAGGGCCTTCGGCACGAAGACGCCGTCCCTTAACAAACGAAGAATCAGCCTATGCAGAGAAGGCAAGAAAGGCTTCACATTGATACACGACCGCGCTCCAGAATTTGTGCCCCAGTAGATACAGGGAAGGGGAGGGGAGGGGAGGCTGTAGCGGGCCATGTCCCCGGGGTCGTTACGGCGAGAGGAAAATCTCTTGTTTCTAGGGTAAGACTTGCATATTCCACTTCAATTCTACTTTCGTCTTGCGTCCGTTTTTATCCCACTCGTTTCGTCTAGAATTTTTTTTTGTAACTAACTGCCATGATTCCTTTTCCGATAGGAAACCAGAAATGCATCCCACTGCTGTCACAAGAAAGCGATTGTCCGCGTCGAGACACATGCGAACTGTAATTTAGGAGATATATCGATTTGTAATCGATACATTGGCTCTGTACGTACACCAATGATAATGGCATTTTAACGATCTCGTGTTGAGTAACCACGACGGAAGGGCACGCCCCCTCGAGGAAGACTCAGGCGTAACTGAACGCCGTGTTGACGGGGGCGACTGTCCAGGGACGGATTGTATTGTAACAACCACTTCCTATCGCATATTAGTTTGTGACTAAATTCTTTCAAACCGAAGCTCGTCTAAATTATCTCTAAGACCTCTCAGTACGTACCGCAAACGTCACACTTCAAACTACAATGACCTTTTTAATATTATCTGAGGAATAGTCGCTGTTTACAATGGGAATCATCGAAGCCCATATACAAAATATGAAGATTTAGTGATTATTGAATCACGTGGGTCAGAAGTTACAGTTGGCTTTAAAGGATTAAACACATCTTCAGAGGTTTGAAATTACTTCGACAGACTTCTGGATGAACTCTGACCGCAGCGATTGTCAGCTGCGTTTTGTATTTTGTAGGAAGGCCTTCGAGTCGTGCCCGGGAAACATTATGTCTGAAGTTTCTTATGTCTCATGATAGTGAAGGTCGCAACAGATCGGAGTAGATCTAGACGCCTCCAAATTCCTCTGTAATTATTGGTTCATCTTTTATCTGTCACCCTGAGGAATCAAAGTACATTAAGGGTCGGGTGTTGAGGACAGGATTCGGCCCTAAGAAACAGGAAATAACTTTGTTGGTTACTGTATAAATATTTGAACGATTAA